CGTATTTATATATATAATATATATATATATTATATATATAAATACGATATAAAGAAATATGTATGTAAAGATATATATATATGTATCTATGTATATACACCTTGTCTCTATTTCACTTTGAATATTTGGAATACATTTATAATAACTGCTTTAATGTCCATCTCTCTAATGCTAACATCTATCAGTTCTGGGTTGATTTTGATTGCCTGGTCTTGTTAGGTCACCTATTTCCTGCCTCTTTGAATGCCTAGTAACCTATGATTGAATGCCAGATATTGTAACTTTTATCTTGTTTGATTCTAGGTTTTTTTAGTCCCCAAAATAGTCTTCTTTAAAAAAATCTTTTTTTAAGATTTTATTTTTAAGTAATTCCTATATCCAACCTATATCCAACATGGGGCTTGAAGTTAAAACCTTGAGATCAAGAGTCGCATACACATGGGGCGCCTGGGTGGCTCAGTGGGTTAAAGCCTCTGCCTTTAGCTCGGGTCATGATCCCAGGGTCCTGGGATCGAGCCCCGGATCGGGCTCTCTGCTCAGCAGGGAGCCTGCTTCCTCCTCTCTCTCTCTGCCTACTTGTGATCTCTATCTGTCAAATAAATAAAATCTTAAAAAAAAAAAAAAAAAAAAGAGTCACATACACTGAGCCAGCCAGGCGCCCCTTCCCAAAATATTCTTGAGTCTTTTCTGGAATCAGGTTCAGTTACTTGGAAACAATTTGGTTCTTCCTGGTCCTGATATTTATTATTTGCTAGTAGAATCTGGAAAGTAGAATTCTGGTCAGCCTAGGAATAATTACTCTCCACTACTAAGGCAAGAGTTTCCCGAGAGCTCTATCTAGTGGCCTATGAATTATGATATTTTCCAGTGTGGATAGTGGAAGTAGGCGCTGTTTCTAGCCCTATGTGAATGCCAGGCATTGTGTCCTTCAGTCCTTTCAAATGATCCTTTCTCTGGCTTTGAGTAGTTTCCACACACCTGAGCCCTGGTCATTCTTTGCCCACTCGAGTGAACCCTCTGCAGATAATTGTTTTTGTTTTTGTTTTTTTTTTTAATCTGTGCAGCTCTCTTCTCTATAGTATTCTGTCCTCTAAACTCTGCTGTCTTGGTCTCCTTGGAAGCTACCAGGGAATCTGCTCGGCTTTGCCTCATTTCCTCCTCCCTGTGTTGCAGCCTGGAAACTCATAATAGTAAGCATGGCGGCTCACAGGGCTCACCTTGTTAACTTCCTGTCCCTCTGGGATTGTTATCCTCCATTGCTGTCACCTAGTATCTGATGACTTGTTTTGTGTAAATTTGTCTTGTTTTGGTTTAGGCAAGATAAACCTAATCACTTTGACTCCATTTGAATGAAAACCGGAGGTTTTCACTCAGCATTTTTATTTTTTATTTTTTTAAATTCATTTATTTGAGAGAGATTGAGAGCAAGGGGAGAGGGAGAGAAAGAATCCCAGGCAGACTCCACACCGAATGTGGAATCTGATGCAGGGCCCATCTCATTACACTGAGATCACAGTCTGAGCAGAAATCAAGAGTCTGAGGCTTAACTGACTGGGCCACCCAGGGGCTCCTTCACTCAGCACTTTTAAAAACATTTCCCCTTTACTTTCGCCATATTGTCTGTTGCCATATTGAATCCCCAGTCTTTGTGTATGTATGTGTGTTTCCTGCTCTGAAGTCCTTTAGGATTTTTTTTTTTAAAGATTTTATTTATCCATTTGAGAGAGAGAGAAGCATGAGGGAGGAGAAGGTCAGAGGGAGAAGCAGACTCCCCGTGGAGGTGGGAGCCCCATGCTGGACTCGATTCCGGGACTCCGGGATCATGACCTGAGCGAAGGCAGTTGCTTAACCAACTGAGCCATCCAGGCACCCAGGATTTTTTTTTTTTTTTATGTTTTCATTTTTCTGAGACTTCTCAGTGATATGCCTTGTGTAGGTATTTTTCATTTACTACTCTGAGTACTTGTCAGTCCTCTCTCCTTCCTGGTGCTTTTAAACAGATAGAATTACCAAGTGTTAAAAAGCAGAGCACAGGGCGCCCGGGTGGCTCAGTGGGTTAAGCCTCTGCCTTCGGCTTAGGTCATGACCTCAGGGTCCTGGGATTGAGCCCCTCTGGCTCTCTGCTCAGCAGGGAGCCTGCTTCCCCTCTCTCTCTGCCTGTCTCTCTACCTACTTGTGATCTCTCTCTCTGTCAAATAAATAAATAAAATCTTAAAACAAAACAAAACAAACAAACAAAAAAAAAACAAAAAGCAGAGCACGCTTAAAAAAAATCCTGAGCTCATTCTTGGTTTTCTATGATGATCAGCCTCCTTTTTGTTTGCTTCCCCCTCTGCCAGCAGTTAACATTCATCTTTCTCTGCTCTTCTAATTTAGTACATTCATCCTTTCTGTCTTCTAAAATTCTTTTAACATCCTTGGTCTGCTCAGACTCTTCTCCTTGTGGGCCATTATATTACTATCACTTTAGTGGGATTAGGGAGGTAGTGGAGATCAGTACAAAAGTGCTGTGGGCTGTGTTTATACAGATGTTCTCTGTGCATGTGCACACAAAACCCATGGAAAGAAGCCAGAGGGACAGGCACATAGAGCAGGGCCTGGCAGAGTCAACACAGAGGTCAGCAGGGAAAGGAGGGGCTGTTTGTGGGGATGACCACACAGAGGTACAGTGGGTCTTGGACTCTCCTGTTGATGAGGGTGATGCCAGCTCAGGGCTGGCCCCCACGGGGAGTAGAGGGCACTGGAGAACTGTCCTTGGCAATACCACCACATCCAGTAGATCTCTGCCCCGATACGTAGGCTCCTCTGCCTTCACACAGAGTTTGAGCAGGAACCTGTTGTTTCAGGAGCCAGTGACCTTTGAGGACGTGGCTGTGTACTTCACCCAGAATGAATGGGTTATCCTAGACCCTTCACAGAGGGCCCTGTACCGAGAGGTGATGCTGGAGAATTATGCAAATGTGGCTTCCCTGGGTAAGGACTCTCTTCTCCCTGCTGTTGTCTTTCTCTGCCTTTCGTGCATCCTGGCTTCTTTCTTCCTTTTAGACATCGTGGCCTCTCTGATAACCCTCATGGGCAGTTGCTCCAAAGGCTGAGCTTCTCAGAGGCTACTGGTTGGGGAGAGTTTCGGGTTCCCTGGTTTTGAAACCTGCTGTCCCCCTGGCCTTGGGAGGGACTCTGCCCCATGCATGGAGGGAAAGGAAGAGCTCTTGGGAGCTCAGCAGAGCCCTTTGTTTCTGTCTTCCAAGTTCTCTGAAGATGATCTGGGACTCCCTCCTGTGAATGGGGGGTTATTCCAGGACTCTGCCCCCATTTGTGGGAATTTTCTTTCTTCTAAGATAGCGCAAGCTAACTTCTCTTCATTTCCCTCCCTGACTCAGTGAAGAAAAGTAAAGACAGTCAAGAGAGGACCTTGCTTCCTGATTCCCTTTACTTTTTGTTCCTGTTTCTTTCTCCTGGGCAGCTTTTCTATTCACCAGACCTGTTCTGGTCTCCCAGCTAGAGCGAGGGGAGCTGCCATGGGGCCTGGAACCCTGGGAGCCTGCGGGCAGGGAAGCTCTCAGAGGCATCTGTCCAGGTGAGCATGAGAACCTACCAGCTGCCTTTTTTGCTTAGCCTGCTTTCCCATATCACATTTGAATGTGTGTGAGACTGTTTTCTTTCTTCTGGAATCATTATATGTGATTCTGTGTTCATGGTGGTAGCCTCCCTCAAATGAGGAAGGGCCAGTCTCTTCCAGGGAAGGCATGGCTGCAAGATTTCTCTGCATGTTCACCTTTGCCTTTCCACCTCACCACCTGCTAAGGGACACCATGTGACTGAGCGAGCAGCTCTTGAGGCATGAGAGCTCTTTTGAACCCTGTCTTGTGGAAAGTTTATTTTTCCACCCGTTTGTGTTGCAGAGATGAGGTTGTCAACCAAGAAGGAAAATAGGCTTCTGGGGCCTATCTGGCCATCCACATATTCACAGAGTACATTCTTTCTTTCTTTCTTTTTTTTTTTTAAGATTTTATTTATTTATTTGATCGACAGAGATCACAGGTAGGCAGAGAAGCAGGCAGAGAGAGAGAGGAGGAAGCAGGCTCCCGGCTGAGCAGAAAGCCTGATGTGGGGCTCCATCCCAGGACCCTGGGATCATGACCTGAGATGAAGGCAGAGGCTGTAACCCAGTGAGCCACCCAGGCGCCCCCAGTACATTATTTCTATGGGAACATTTTTTTTTTAAGTAAACTCTACCCCTTGTATGGGGCTTGAACTCACAATCCTGAGATCAAGAGTTGCATACTGTACTGACTGAACCAGCCGGATTCCTCTCTCTGGGAAACTGAATTATGAGTTCTCAAACACTGACTTAAATAAAAATAAAAAATAAAATAAAATTTTACAATTGAAAAAATTATTTAAAAATAAAACAATTCTTTTTCATAGTGGAAATTTTCCCACATACGCAGACACCAGCACAGCACACCCCGTGATTCCTTTGCCTCAACACCCACCTGAAGCCTGTCATTTTTCCCCTACAGACTCTTAAAAAAAACTTTGATTTTAACAGCTGAGCTTTTGAAACAAAACTTGCTATAACGGAAAGGTGAATGGCTTCCTCATTTTGATTGATATGCGAATAAAAAATAACAACACGGTGTATTTTTTCCTGCCTTTGTTATTCTTTTTCACCCCTGCTCTGCCTGTAAAATTTCATGTGCTCTTCAGACTCTTCACAGAGAATGTCCATAAGTAATGCACAACTCCCTCCCACTCCCAGCCTTGTGTTAAAGTTCTGCCTTTCTGGATACGATCCCAGGACTTCAGGCTATCTGTGTAAAAAGATAAACAGTTCGCTTGTAAACAGTTCGCTTAAACAGTTCGCTTGTAAACACACAAGGTTGCTCTGGCCCAGTGCTGAAGATTATATTAGCCTGCAAAAGGCCTTAATAGGAGAGGGAAAACTGCCTTTGGTTTTCTCTATTTCACATTCTTACTGTCATAGTAAACTATACACAGCTTGTGCAGTACTGTAGGAAAAGCACCAGAGTCATTACCAGATCCTCCCTAAGGCTTACGTCTGTTCTTGGAAGGGTTCCTCACACGTGCAGTGCATGCTATTTTGTTTTAGTTTTTTAAAGACTTTATTTATTTATTTGACAGAGAGAGGGAGAGCACACAAACAGAGAGGGGAAGCGGCAGACAGAGGGCGAGGGAGAGAGGGAGAAAAAGTCTCTTCGCTGAGCAGGGAGCCCAATGTGGGGCTCAATACCAGGAGCCAAAGGCAGACGCTTAACGACTGAGCTGCCCAGGGACCCTTGTTCTTTTATTTTAGAAGCAAGCCTCAGTGTCTTCCCCTTTCCTTCCAGCTACGGTGGGTTAGCCCACCATAGTTCCTTTAGCCACAGCGTAGGAGGCTGCCATTTTACTGGCGTCAGCCTGATGACAGAGACCATTCTCTTTTCAAAGATTATGACATGGATAATATTGTAAAAAATAAGCAGCTTTTAAGGAATCAGTTGTGGGACCCTTTGTAGTTTGAGCTGCTTGACCTGCCCCTTCTTCAATCTGGTGGTCTTCCTCTGACCCTGGGGTCTCTATTCATCACTTTTCCATATATTCTTATCCCACCCATTCACTCAGGAGAAAGGGGTTGGTCTTCCCATCCTAGTAGGTAACAGTCTTCGCTGTTTTCCAGTCTTTACACTCTTTATGGCAATGCCTCCTGGCCTTGCTTGCGTACCACCCATAGTATCTTCATTTCACTTGTGGGGCTCTGCTGTATGGTGGTCTTTGGTAGCCATTTTGTGTACCTGTAGGAAAATAGTCACATAGGGCAGATGAGAACCACTTGATCCTTTTTCCCTTTCAGCACTGTCAGAGGCTAACACTTGTGTTGTTGTTTCCCCCCGCCGCCCCGTGATGTCAGGAGGTGAGGCCAGAGCTGAGAAGGAAGAATCAACTCCAAAGGAACACATTTCTAAAGAAATGGAGTCCCACAGACTGACATTAGGAGGGCTGCCAGGGAACGTTCCCCAGTGCCTGGACTTTGGGAGCAGCCTAGAGCAACAGCATGGTCACTGGATAGCTAAGAAGACCATGTCAAAGAGGAGAGATTTCACAGCTGGGCCAACCAGTCATCGTGACGACTGCACTGTCGGGAGTGGGGAGCACTGTGAGAAATCTGGGGAAAATATTAATGTTAGCACACAACTCATGGATCAGACAGTTCCTAGTGGTCAGATATCATATGAATGTAGAAAATGTGGCAGATACTTTAGTCGAATGGCAGATTTTCAGGGATGTCACCCTGGTGAAAGGTCTTTCAAATGCAAAGAATGTGGAAAAGCCTTCAGATACAACTCATTACTTATTCGGCATCAGGTAATTCACACTGGAAAGAAACCATTTAAATGTAAAGAATGTGGAAAAGGTTTAAGTTCAGACACGGCCTTGATTCAGCATCAGAGAATCCACACTGGAGAGAAGCCCTATGAATGTAAGGAGTGCGGCAAGGCCTTCATTAGCAGTTCTGTTTTCCTCCAGCACCAGAGGTTCCACACTGGGGAGAAACTCTATGAATGTAATGAATGTTGGAAGACTTTCAGTTGTAGCTCAAGCTTTATCGTCCATCAGCGAGTGCACACTGGGGAGAAACACTACGAATGTAAAGAGTGCGGGAAACGGCTAAGCTCCCCCACAGCCTTGACTCAGCATCAGCGCATTCACACAGGGGAGAAACCTTTTGAATGTAAGGAGTGTGGGAAGGCCTTTAGTCAGAAAATCACCCTGGTCCAGCACGAGCGAGTTCACACCGGTGAGAAACCGTACGAGTGTGAGGTGTGTGGGAAAACCTTCAGCTGGTGTGGACGATTTACTCTGCATCGGAAACTACACACACAGAAGATACCTGTGCAAGAGTAAGGTGGTCTGCAGCTGGGCGTGCTGTGCCTCTTTGTTTCTCCCCTTTCAGGTTCTTCACCAGCATGCTCTTTACAGTTAGAAAAGAAGAAACAAAGCCCCAAACTCAAATGTACAGAGAAATGTAACTGGCTGTGACTTTGGAGTTTGTGGTGTCCCTGAGTGCCCCTCAGGACAGATGAGGGATGGGTGGGAGGACCTACATCAGAGAACACCACTGTGAATTACCAAAACTCCAGGCTTTAAGAGGAGATCTTTAAAAGGTTCTAGAGAAAACAAAAGTTCAGGAATAAGAATGCACTGGATTTCATAACAGCAGTCTTGAAAGTTAGAGGACAGTGGCATATTCCTGCAAAATTCTAAGGGAAAATAAGTTCCACCCAGTATTCAGTACTCTCAAATGTGAATTGAGTATAAACTTTTAGATTTTGAACCTTTGTCTCCCATGCATTCATTCTTAGGTGTGCAATACTAAACAAAGGATAAACCAGAAAAGAAAAAGATAACGTGGACACCCTATCATAGTCTATATTAGGAGTCTCCTAAACTCAGAAACAGAGGGCCCTTATCCCTGTGGAGCCATCTGTATTTTGGAGGCTATTCCTAGTGGGCTACAGGTTTTCAGAGAGCTACCTCAGGTGCAGTGCCCACCCAGATCACTTACTCTGTAGTCACTTCTCAGTGCTTGGTTGTAGTCTGTGCCTTTGCAAAAGTTGGGGTATATCTACCCTTTGAGTCAAATGCAAGGCCCTATTTATCAAAAATTCGTCCATCTCATTGCTCTTCCAAGTGACCTCACAGCAGGAAGCATTTCCTTGCGACTTCACTTAGTTCTCTCTTATCACAGAAGAAGCGTCCATTATTTTCTGTTACCAGTGGAAACAAGGGGAGATATAAATGTGTTCTGTTTTAGCATCCCTCTTTTGCAAGCTGCTTGACTTTGCCCACTGCAGGAAGCAGAGTAGTGGATAGTAATACAGAGCCAGGTGTGAGCCCAGGTGTGTCACCTTGGTTAAGTTGCAGACACTACTAATTTCCTTATCTGTAAAATCTGGATGATGGTCTACCTCATATGTTTGTGTTGAGGATTAATACATGCAGGAGTGCTTAGAACAATGACTAGAACCTGGTAAACAATAGTGTTATTTATTATAATACCATTGCTAAGTGATGACTTATGTATATACCAGTGAAACAGTCACCACAGTCAAGATAATAAGCAGAGCCATAACCCCCCAAAATTACTTATGCCCCTTGGTAATCCCTCTCCTAGCTTTTCACAGCAAGTGCTGATCTGCTGTCACTTTGGATGAGTTTTGCTTTTCTAGAATTTTATAAAAATACCCTATTTTGTGTATTCTTTTTTTTTTTTTTTTTTTTGGGTCTGGTGTCTTTCAGCATAAATTATTTTGAGATTTATGTAACATGTTCATTATATATCAGTGGTTCTTTTTTTTGGGGGGGTGGCTGAACAATATTCCACTGTGGAAATAACAAAATTTGTTCATTCATTTCCTGATGGCCATTTGGGTTGTTTCCAGTTTTTGGTTGTTACGAATAAAGCTGCTATGGATATTTGTGTTTAAGTCTTTGTAATGGTGTATATTTTTGTTTCTCTTGGGTAAATAAGGAATGGAATGCCTGTGTCATAAGGTAGGTGCATATTTACATTTTTGAAAAAGCTTTTATTCAGAGAGGGAGAGAGAGCATGTGCCCGCATAGGAGCAGGGAGGGAGGTTGGGGAGGGAGAAGCAGACTCCCTGCAGATCAGGGAGCCTGGACACCCCAACATGGGGTTCGATCTCAGAACCCTGAGATCATAACCTGAGCCGAAGTCAGATGCTTAACTTACTGAGCCATCCAGGTGCGTGCCTCAGTATATATTTACATTTTTAAGACTCTTTAAAACTTCTATAAAGAAGTTGTGCCATTTTATATCCATACCAGCACGTATGAGAGTTATACTCTCATGTCTTCATCTTTGGCTGTGCTTAATACTGTTTTAAATTTTAGCTCTTACAGGGGCGCCTGGATGGCTCAGTGGGTTAAGCCTCTGCCTTCGGCTCAGGTCATGATCTCAGGGTCCTGGGATCGAGTCCTGCATCAGGCTCTCTGCTCAGCAGGGAGCCTGCTTCCGTCTCTCTCTCTCTCTGCCTGCCTCTCCGTCTACTTGTGATCTCTCTGTCAAATAAATAAATAAAATCTTTAAAAAAAATTAGCTCTTACAATAAGTGTAATGCTGTCTTCTTGTGATTTTACTTTGCATTTCCATAATGACTAATGATGTTGAACATACTTTCATGTGCTTATTTGCCTTCCATATGTCTTAGGTTAAATGTCCATATCTTTTGCCTATGTTTTTATTGGGTTTTCTTTTTATTGATATTTGGGAGGTCTTTTTGGGATGGGGAGTTCTTTATATATTGTGGATACACGTCCTTTTTCAGATATGTTATTTGTGAACATTTTCTCCCATTGGGCTGGGCTTTTCATTCTCTTAATTTTTTTTTTTTAAGATTTTATTTATTTATTTGAGAGAGAGATTGAGTATGAGCAGGGTTTGGTGGGAGGGACAGAGGGAGAGGGATAAACAGACTTCTTGCTGAATGGGGAACCTGGTGCGGGGCTCAATTCCAGGACCCTGAGATCATGACCCACGCGAAAGCTAGATGCTTAACCAACTGAGCTCCCCAGGTGTCCCTCATTATTAATGAGGTCCAATATAACAGTTTGTTCACTTATGGATTATGCCTTTCATGTCATATTTAAGAAATTCTTGCCTTACCCAAGATTGTTTCCCCTATTTTTCTTCCTAAAAGTTTTATAATTTTAGATTTTATGTTATGTCATCTATTTTTGTCTTAAATTTTGTGTAGGGTATGAAGTATGCCTCTAAGTTCCTTCCTTTCTCCTCTTCTCCATGCCTTTTTAGGTGCATATCCTAGTTTTGAAAATGACTCCTCCACTGAATTGCCTTTGCACCATCGTTGCAAATCAGTTGTCCATGCAGGTGTGGGCCTACTTTTGGATTCTATTTGTTCCATTCGTCTGTTTGTCTGTCTTGATGCCGTTGCCTTAATTTCTGTAGTTTTTCTAAGTGTTGAAGTCACACAGTGTTAGTTTTCCTATTGTGTTTTACCAAAGTTGTTTTGGCCATTCTAGGTCCTTTGCACTTCATAGGAGTTTTAGAACCAGTTTGCAAATTTTTATAAAGCATATCCGGGGATTTCGGTTGAGATTGTATGACTCTTTAGATCAATTTTGGGGAGAGTTCACATCTCAAATGTATAGTCTTAACTCAAAAACATGGCAAATATCTCATTTGGATCTTTATTTGAGCAGTGTTTTGTAACTTTTAATGTATAGGTCTTTCACACCTTTTGTCAAATTTATCTAGATATGTCATTTTTTGATGCTATTACAATAGTAAATTTCTAAATGTTCATTGATGGTATATAGAAATGCAATTGATTTTTGTATTTTGACCTTGTATCCTGCAATATTGCACAACTCACTTATTCTAATAACGTTTTTAAGATTCTGTAGGATTTTTTTAACATTGATCATGTTCATAACCATTTTACTTCTTTCCAATTCTGGATCTTTTTTCTTGCCTTATTGCACTGGCTAGTGGCTTGGGGGTAGTGTGTTTTTAGGGAGCCAGTCCTTGTGATATTGGCCAGGTGAGGGACATCCAGCTCCAGATTTTTAATTTTGCTGATATATGAGTAAGCTCTCTGATAGCTGTAAAAGCAGCTCAAGTTTCCCACCTCCTGGTTCACCGTGCTTTCTAGATGCCTGTATATCAGCACTGCCTGTACTCTGTCCCTCTGGTGAGGCTGTTCTGGGAAAGAATGGGACTTTTGCATGCTCCCAGTTTTCTCCTCTGACTGCCCATGATTCCAATTCTCATTTTCACAACTTGGGGATTTTTATTTGGGTCTACCAAAACTTTCTCATTTATTCTCCCTGCACTATAATACCAGATAGAGGAATACCATGCCCAATATTGTCCCCCTTCAAGTTAGATCTGATTGTGATAACTGGCTAATGCTTTTTTCCCCTAAGATTTTATTTCTTTGAGAGAGAGCGAGCAAGCGATCATAAGCAGGGGAAGCAGCAGAGGGAGAGGGAGAAGCAGACTCCGCTGAGCAGGGATCCCAATGCGAGGCTCCATCCCAGGACCCTGGGATCATGACCTGAGCCAAAGAGAGATGCTTAACTGAATGAGCCACCCATGCACCCCTGGCTAATACTTAAGGGTTTGTGATGTATATGTGTATATGTGCACCCATATATGTGTGCCCATCTTTCTAGATTAATGGTAGTTGTTCATTTTGATCAGCTTAGAGAAGAGGCAGTTTGAAAATAGAAGTCCTCATCATGCTGTTGTTCCTGGAAATCTAATTCATTTACTTAAAGCAACTGTACAGAAGCTTTACAATGAAAATACTGCAAATTTTATAAAATATATAAATATATAAAATATATGGTTTCTGTGGTAGACAAAATCTCAGCATTGGGCAGCCTCCATATGGTCCGTGGTGATTCTAATCCTTGCATTCATGCCCTATCTCATCTAATGTATTATGAGAGGCCTGTCTTGGTAGTACATTGAGGTGATGATTGTGCATGACTTCCAAAGCTAGGTCATCACACTGCAGTTGGCCTTGACATTATTTTAAAAAAAGGTTTTATCTAATTTTTAAATAAACTGTACACCCAGTGTGGGGCTTGAACTCATGACCTGAGATCAAGAGTCACATGCTCCACCAATTGAGGCAGCCAGGTGCCCCTGGCCTTGGCCTTTTGGATTGCTTACCTTAGGTAGAAACCTGTAGCAAAATTGTAAGGACACAACTGTGTGCAGAAATCCATGTGGGAAGGGACTGAAGTTTCACAGCAGTAACCAGTAATTTAAGCGTATATGTAAGCAGCCCCAGGTGACACCCGCATGGAACTTCATGAGAGATCCCAAGCTGGGATCTTCC